CCGCCGCGCGGTGGAGGCTCGAGTGAGAGCTCTAATAGCAACATGGACGGACAAGCGTGTCCTCTACCAGATCGGTGTATGCATATCTGCCACTATATATAGCAGTGTTTAGAACATTAAACCTCTGACTAATAGGTCGTTGGATCGAGTCTCGGACGCCTCAAAATCTGGGATTTGGTATGGTTGGCTGACAATTGCTAATAATTCAGAAATGTTAGTTGATCCAATTGTGAAAAAACTCGCGGCGTCGGCGAGAGTCGAACCCGCACAGCAGGGAATGCCTTTGCGCGAAGTCAACGTTCTACCGATTTGAGCTACAAATAAAATTAAACAAATCTGCCAAAACCCCTTAACAAACCAGAAATGGACATTCCCCTCTCCCTCGTCTTTGTCGATAATGTATATGCTGGCCAATGAGCGGCTAAGAGCGAAGCTCGAGCCCGCGCTAGTGAAACACAAGGCACAATGGGGTGACTGAGTCCAGTAACCGATAAGCGAGCTTCCGTTCCCTCTAATATGCACGTGTATATATATTGTTCATCATCTCCGACGGAAAGAACGAAGAAGAGGCACGCGTTATAACGGAGTGCCTAGGCCGAGATATCGCCGCCCAATGACGTCCCGTGTGAGTCCCCAAAGAGAGAACACGACAAGAAGAGTGCAATAGTAGAAGTCTTTTTGTGTTTAAGGTACAAACAATTTCGGGAAAAAAACGTGTGTAACGATGTCCACTGAGCCAATCAGATTTCCCTCTGAGGTGGTGACCAGTCCCATTGGTTATTTGACTCAGTGGATGACAGTGGTTTAAACTGTGAATTATCGATCGTTTTGACGGCTTTTGTACATTCGCCCGTGTAGGCCGATTGATAGCCTGCTTGGGTTGTGGCCATGCTGCGCAAGCTACTGCTTGCGAAGCTGTTCGTTAGGCCTGCCTAACAGCACGTTCATGGACCGAGGTATATTTAAACTGGCGTTTCGGAAAATCTCGCACCTCCATACGTAACGTACTGTGTTTATCCTTCCCGTAGCCCTTGATTAGTTCCGCCTAGCCACCTAGCCGCCTGCCTGGTGTTATAATCGTGCTTAACAATCAGACACCAGATCATAAGTCTCACTAATCTGTTACCGGTGACAGAATAGTCGGCGGTGGCCTACAGCATAGTTTATCGACACTGTGATGGCCAGACTAATTCTGAAAATTTGGCCCTTAACTGACACATTTAACCGAGCCACTGATCAACACTCCGCCTACTGGGCGCGCCGTACAAGGCTAATCTCAGTTCCGACAAGACCAATAGGAGGCCAACAGTCAAAACCCGCGGAGGAAAGTGGAGGCACCGAGAGAGTGCCACGTGACCGCCGACGCGCAGAACCATGCAGAAGACACGGGAATATTTACCCTTCCTGAAAACTATCTCAAGGCCACTTATTCTACGTTGGTAGGGCTTTCCTTTCTCGTGTCTCGTTTCGGCGGTCATACAAGTCCCCCTCATGTCTTTAACTTTCCGTCTAGTTGCGAACATCCTACTAGCACCCATGTCTAATTGCATGACCACTGAGCGAACTAGCTATTAATCTTAAATAAAAATCACCATTTTTAAAACGCTCATACGAGTCTACAAACTGCCGTATGCACTTATCTACAGCTTCCCGGAATTATCGAGTTATGGTTTAAAGTTAAATGCACCACAGAACATCGGCGTCACAGCTGCACGCGGCAAGGGGTCTTGCAAAGTTTCTGCTCTAAACCACCACAGGCAGGAGTTCCATGTCCAGCTGGTGCCTCGTGTGTTTACACACACACCAGGTATTATATAAACTTTTTGATGAACTGCAGTCCATATTTCAATCGTTGCGAGTGGCCAGAGGCACAAATGTTTCGTGCGGCCATGATTTGCAAGTGAGTTTGTTTGCAGGATGATAGGCTGGTCATGCATCTACGTTGCGCTCTCTCTCTCTCTCTCGCTCCCCGCAGGCCCCACGCATTCGCACAGTAAAAAATACTCGAGACGACGAGATGAAGGCGGGGGTGCGGGCGTGGCTTCTGATTAGTCCAAATGCCTAAAAATAAACGTTGTCCAACACCTTAGATGCTTATGAACTGGAAAATCAGCATCCCACGAAGTATAATTCGGTAGAAGAAGTCCCTTGGGAAATGAGAGTTTATTATGTGAGTTTTCGACACTGGCTCACCAGGTCGTCTTCGTCAGACGGATGAGAGTTGTATGAAACAGTTAATTCAAAATGATGGCTAACACAAGGTTAAATAGCGGGTC